GCATCATATACCATATACAAATTATCTTCTGAGTTGAATCGATTTTGTGATTCAAATGCCAGAAGATATAGAAAACCTATGTTAAAGACTTAATTATTTTATTGACCTTTCAAATAAATATATGTTAATATAATATTTTATGTTTCTGGTAACGTTTTTCTTACACTATTTTTAGTATTTTTGTGTGCAGAAATCCGAAATAATTGTTTTCATACTAAAGCTGCCTATGTACCAAGTATTGAATAATTCATACATAATGCTCCGACCCTTGTCTGAGGCTCCGTACCTAACAGTTAATGAATAGTATACACATTCATGATGACACTTGCTAACTAGGTGTTAAAATTTTAGACCGAGTGTCTCTGAATGAGTTATAGCATATTATTCCGTTACTGAACTAACTAGTATGAAATATATTCAAAAGGAGTTTTGACTTGCTAATGACTAAATTGGCTTATGGTGACAGATATTAAATGTAATATATAAAAAATAATATTTGTTTATTCGCATTTTATGCGCTGCAATACCGTCCAGCAGATTGCGCTAAACTTTTGTCAACTTATCGTTTGCACTTGCGCAAAGGTATATAGCGTATATAGGCTTATTACAATTAAATTATAGAAGATACCGCGCGTGTCGTACCGACATATTTATTTGAAAGTAATATGTCATGCAACAGCAATGAATGTATTATCTATCATTCCTTGTGTGTCTTTCATGCAATACTTGACGTTGGCAGAATCCATTGGAAGTTGCCAAACTAGGAAAAAACATCTATCACTCCTAATTAAACAATATAACCCTTCCAGATTTACAACGTTATTTCCACAAATATTCATTCTGCAGCAGCAACGCGTCGGGTACCAGCCAATATTGTATAAAATAACATATAGTGATAAAATATAAAATAATTCTCAAGCCACAGAGCTGTTTTAAGGCTTTTCAACAATGATAATAAAAATGCTTTCGTTTTCGTGATCTCTGTTTTCGACACAAAGATCACATTAGATTAAGAGTTATACAACCAACAGCTAAGTCAAAAGACCGTTACGTAGATTATTTACGAAGTATAAGTAGCATGACTCTTTTAATTATAACTTCCTGTGGCAAATGAAACTATTTTAGTCACATGATTACGGCCAAGTTTATGTGTTAGAGATGCAGAAAACCGTAAATTTGTATATTGCAGTAAATTTTGCGGATTCTCATATTTTAAAAGAGAATTCCCAGAAATAATAATTATTTTGGTATTTTTGAAAATACTGAAGGGACAGACGATCTTTGTCCACCTGATGGTAAATGGCTGCTCCAGCCCATGGGAACCTGCATCCAAACAAAGAAGGCGACAAATACGCTATCTAGTATGTTGACTAAGTTGAAATGCCTTACAGCCCGTAACTGTACTTGTTCTCTATACTGTTTAGATCGATATGCAGCAGTGCAAGTATCGCTATTTGGCGCCTGAGACGGACTCAGAGGCAGAAAGGAAGTTCTACCATCTAGTAAAATCTACCTAGGTTTTATAACTACAGTGATAAATGAGTACACCGTCCACCTAATGGAAAGCTATTACTGTAGATAAAGCCAATAAACAGATATCTACACCTATATTTAATTAAGAATAAAAAATCAGATACGTTGTCATTCCCGAGGACTAAATACTGAATGCTTCTTTACCAATAAAATCATATGAACACAAAGCATCATTATAATTTATTTTGTGTATACGTGATCGTTCCACTGTCGATCGATCCGACCTACATCTTTACCGTTATGGTCAGCATGAGTTTATCACTTTCATTCATTTTATTAGGTACTTTCCCTACGTTAAAAAAGTCATGAACATCTATGTTTTTTTTTTAATATTAAAGGGTATTATACAAGTACACAGTCCATTTTATTGTGATGTTGTAGCCCGTAGACACGTACATCAATTTGAATTAGGAATCAAAATGTAGATTTATTGTTATCCCTGAGAGCTAAGATGGAATGCCTTGTTACTTATTTAAAGGCGTTTCTGGTCCTGTTCACTAACCACATCACATATTATATTTAAATCGTAAACATTGTTTTTCTATCTGCCTGCCCGTTTGTGTACACTAATCTCCACAAAATTTGAACTAATTAGGATGTATTTTTAATTTCTATATTGATATAAGTGTGGGAAAATATTTAGTGTTTGTTTAATTTAAACAGGTTCTCAAATAATAAGCATATAATATCAATTTTAAAGTGCATTCCGCGCGTGCTCGATACTTCATCAGAGTGCATTGACAAAATAGTTGGTTATACGATTATACCTAATTGAAAAGTGTACAATGGTAAAAATATACATCTTATACGTGGTAGAGCCATGATGCAGCTATATTAGTAGTATAGTTGTAGCACGAATGGGTCGGCTCGACTTGGGAAGGACCACGCTCTCACAGAATATCAGCGTAAAATAGCAGCTTAATGCTGTTGTGTTTCGTATGGTGAGTGTAGAGAACCGGAGACCCTTTTTACTGGAAAAGAGGCATTCCATCTTAGTCCTCATGGGTGATAACGCATCTGCATTTTGATTCTTTATTGAAGATAGAAGTAGATGTCTATGGGCCACAGCATCCACTTATCAGCTGAACTGTGTGCTCGTTTGTCACCCTTATTCCATAATAAAAAAAAATGAACCTTCAAAATTGACATGATTGAGCGTCAGTATAAAATAAAATAAAAGTTCTATTAAAACTTTTTTCATTGTGCGGACGAGATTAATGGTAAGTGGAGCCACGCGTTAGGGGTTTGTACTTCAAATTAATAAAATTATGACTGAGCCCTTTGTAAGCCGACTGATTACACGCTGTCGGAGATTTGAAGGGATATATTTTAATTAAATATATAAACTTTAAAATTAATAATACTCGACAGCGTTCTAACCTATATTTATGTAAATTATATTGAAGTGTCTGTCTGTAAAATAGAAATAGTTGTCTGTAAAATAGAACTAGGGTGACAAACGAGCACACAGTCCACCTGATGGTAAGTGGTTGCTGTGACCCATAGACATCTACATTTATCCTTGTTTGCGAATCAAAATGCAGATGCGTTGTCACCCGTGAGGACTAAGTTGGAATGCCACTTTTCCAGTAAAAAGGTTCTCACGTTCTCTACACTTACCATACGAAACACAGCAGTATTAAACTGCTATTTTACGCTGGTATTCTGTGAGAGCGTGATCCTTCCCCGGTCGTGCCGACCCATTTGTGCTACAACTATACTACTAATATAGCCGCAGCATGGCTCTACCACGTATAAAAATTGTGTGATAGGAGCTTAAGAGAATCTAATATTCCGTTTCCTTCCAGGGGTAACAGAAGGGGCAATTGACGGCTCCGTGGCGCAGTGGCTTAGCAATGAGTTGTTACGCAAGGGGCTGCGGGTTCGAATCCCGCACGGAACAAGTATTTGTATGGCCTACAAATAATTGTTCCGGGTCTGGATGTTTGTCCTCGTGCAATTTATGTTTGTAAACTGCCTCCACGATACAGGAGAAAATCCTAGTGTGGGGGTAATTTTTTTTTAAAAAAGAAAAGAAAAAAAAAAGAACTATGGGAAATACTATAGGTGGCCTACGATAGGTGGCGGTATGCCACTCGTATATGCCACATACATAATATATTGTATATTACCCAGAACAGCGTCAAAGTTGCAAGACATCTATTAGTACGGTCGCTGACCCGCTTGTCATGGTGACCATTATGGTAAATCGTGCTTGCAATGGAAAATCTATATCCAAAAGTGGGTATTACAAGCTTGAAAAGTAAATAATTAAATAATTTTATCTTCATGTTGTTATTAATATCAAATACTAGCAACACCGGCTTTACATGCATAGCACAATAAATTATTGGCTGATTACCAGCCTGCTGCATAGCGCTATTTTTTATGAACATTTATCTAATTATTACATGCGTAAAATGAAATATTTCTTTAGATTAGCAAAGTGTGGAATCGTTTTTGAGTTTTAGCTTTATGATTTATTTCAAATTACAAGTTTCAAAAATAATATTAATGGCTATAATTCCGTTTTTTTAAATTGTAATGGTCTCAGCAAAGAAAAAACAGTAGGTACTATGTTTTTAACATTTAAATAATTTCAACTTAAATATCCTCGCGTTTTAATGTCTTGTAATTACATAAAATACATCCTAATTACACTGTACATTGATACATTAGCCAGGCTCGCTGGAACGACTAACAGGTTAACTAATCCAATTCCAACAACAATTACTTCAAATTACTCCCAATAAACACCAAGCAACACTGACCTACAAAACAAAACTAATAATACGTTTACTGCCTCTGACTATACTTACTCTGTAGACGTATTCACTGGATAAAACACTTACGACCTTACTTATAATCCTTTATTATGGTATTAACTATGTCTATTCCTTTCTCTTTTTATTGTCATTTAGTGAAAAGAGAGCGAGAACAACTTTAAGCACTTCTTAATTCTTTTATTTGTTATAAGTATCTGTCTTTATAAGTAAGACCGTATATCTTCTGACTGTTGATATTATTTGTAGCTATTAAATAATATTATTTGTAGATATTAAAATTTATAAATTAATAGATTTTCATATCCAAATGTACTTATATAAAAATAGTTCCAACAACTTTTAATATTTATTTTATCAATTTTAGAGTAAACTAAAAAACTCATAATTTATTAAAAAACAACTATAGATTTTAATTATTAGCTTCATTACAAAAAAAAAAAAACAATAAACTCTCAAATTCTTTAAGATCAATTCTATCCTTCGTACATCAACATTCTTTATTTATTAGTGTTCAAAATTCGTTCGGCTTGAGTATAGTAACAAAAAATTACATATTTATTTAGCAACAAGAAACACTGAAGACATTCTCTGCTATACTCATATAATTTCTATACAAAATTGCGTTTTGTAAAAGTATTTCAATTGACATTAGTGTGAAGTAGTCACGGTAGTAGTACTTACGGAAGGATGCGGAGGGTGTTCTTGTCCCTTAACATTTTGCAGCTGTTTGTTGTGTGCGGTCGGCGTACGCTCTCCAGGTGCGGTGGAGGCACTGGCGACAGCGCCAGCGCTGCTTCCTGCCGGTGACTTTGCTTGAGGCGAGCTGGTAGATGTAGTTCTGCAAAGTAATGAAGTTGATAAATTCATTTTATATCATAATATATTTATATTTATTACTATCGTTAGCCCCTAATAGCCCTCTGCTGGAAATGACACGTTTCTTTTTTAGGGAGGACTTGCCATAATCAACGCGCGTGGCAGGCGGATTGACAATGGCAAAACAAAATGCTAGTGTTAGAAGTGTTAATATCATCTTTCTGGGTGTTTATTGTATGTTTGGCGTACATAAGATGGTTGTAACTTATGTTGGTTATGTATCTATCGGATGCTATGGGTTCTTTCTGACATTTCCTACAGTCGCCTATTACGTAACCCACGGAACGAACTGGGTTGATGGAGTATCCTACGCGTCCACCCGACTCAAAACAAATACATACAAATACGTATTGCATTAACCGTGTAGTAGCGGTGTAAGACTATCCAGTACCACATATCATCCCGTGGGTGTTGCAAGAGGTGACAGAAGGAAACAAATCAGGAGATAAAAACGAGTAAAAATAAAACCTGTGGTTGCCCACCCGCTTGCCAAGAGTGGCAACTAACAATCAAAGCAAATATCCCCCTTAAGAGGCAATCTGGCTTCTATAGAGAGACAAAAATTATTATATATTTTTAATAAGGATATATATATATATATATATCATCATCATTACAGCCCTTCACAAGTCGACAGACGAACTCGAAGAACCGACAACCGTTGTTGTCGGTCTTTCGAGAGCTATATGGCCGGCCCATTGCCACTTCAGTTTACTAATCCGTTGGGCTATGTCGGTTACTCTGATTCTACTGCGGATATCCTCATTTCTAAGTTTATCACGTAGAGAAACTCCGAGCATAGCCCTCTCCATAGCTCGCTGAGCGAACTTGTGCTTCCTCATCCAGCCAGCAGTGAAGGACCACGTCTCAGTACCATAGGTCATCACTGGCAACCCGCACTGGTTGTACAGTTTTGTTTTCAAGTTTTGAGGTATACCTGACGAGAAGATGTGCCGAACCGAATTTCCCGAACGCTGCCCAACCGAGTTGAATCCGACGATTGATCTCTCGGTCGAAGTTGGACTTACCTAGTCAGACTAGTTGTCCCAGGTAAACATACTCGTCAACAACTTCGAGCTTAGTGTCCCCGACATCTACCGGCATAGGTGTGACAAGGACATTAAACATGATCTTTGTTTTGTCCATGTTCATCTTAAGACCTATCCGTTGGGAAACACTATTGAGGTCATTGAGCATAGTGCTTAGGTCCTTCAACGATTCTGCCATAAGGACTACATCGTCGGCAAATCGAAGGTGAGTGGTGTACTCGATGATGTTGATACCGTATCCTTTCCAGTCCAGAAGCTTGAAAACGTCTTCCAATGCAGCGATGAAGAGTTTCGGGGATATCACGTCACCCTGTCTTACACCTCTCTGCAATTGGATAGGTTTCGTACTCTGGTTCTGTACTCGGATAGCTATCGTAGCTCTACTGTACAAGCACATCAGCACTTCGATATACCGACAGTCAACTTGGCATAGCTGAAGGGACTACAGCAACGCCAAAATTTCGACGCAATCAAAGGCTTTCTCATAGTCCACATACGCCAGAGTAGTGGCAAATTGTACTCCTCGGACTTCTGTACAATTTGCCGAAGGGTATGTATGTGCTCTATGGTGCTAAAGCCATTTCAGAAACCGGCTTGTTCGAGAGGCTGGAAGTCGTCAAGTCTGCGCGCGAGACGATTCGTAATGACTCTCGAAAACAGCACGTAGACGCGGCTCAGAAGGGATATCGGTCTGTAGTTCTTCAAGAGAGTGTTGTCACCTTTCTTGAAGAATAAGACCACCGCACTCTGCTCCACGCCTCCGGTGTAGTTGCACCATGGAGGACAGAATTAAAGAGCTTCTGAAGGACTTCAAGTACCGGTTTTCCACCCGCTTTCAGAAGCTCCGCTGTAATTCCATCCTCGCCTGGGGCCTTGCCGTTTTTAAGGTGCTGGAGAGCCATTCTAATCTCGCTCATACTGACGTCCGGGATATCATCGGAATAGTGTGGTATAAGACTCGCTCTTGGATCGTTACTCACACTTACGTGTGGCTCTAACGATGATGTGTACCCACAGAACCTCTTAATCTCACTCAAAATCTCAGGTGTCCCGGAAACGACGCTGCCACACTCGGTCTTCAGCTTCGACAGTTGGCTCTTTCTGGCAGACAGATCTCTAGCTAAAACTTTGAAGCCCTGTCTGTTCAGTTGCCTGTATGCTGTCAAATCTACTGAAGACTGCAACTTCATATCCCGTCTAACAGCCATGAGATTAAGAGTGTGATCGGAGAGTTTTTGTGTTTTTCTGCGGCGGGTCTTGCAAAACTTAGCTCCGACCGCATGGACAGTTTCCACGAGCTTGTCATTCATATCGTCCACTGCATTGCAATCTTCTAGGCCCTGAAAACGGTTTTGTAGCTCGAGCTGAAAGGTTTCGGGACTTTGGATTAGAGCACGAGGGGGACGGAGCGTTGATTTCATTGGACGTGACCTCTCCAACTTAACGTTTAGGTTCAGTGTGCCTCTCACCATTTGGTGATCACTGCCGGTTTTCACCCTCGCGATCACTGAGATATCACTGAACAGTTGTCGTCTGGTCGTCTCATTTTTTGTCGAAACGTCGGGGCTCGACCAGGTCCACTTCCTGTGGGGCCGCTTCTGGAAGAAAGAGTTCATCATAAAGAGTCCCTCTATCTCCATGAAATTGGCAAGCTGCTGGCCCCTTGGGTTCCGTTGCCCTATTCTGAAATTCCCTTCTTTCAGCTCACCGTTCTCTCTTGTGCCTAGTTTAGCGTTGAAGTCTCCCATTAACACCGTATAGTGGGTTTGGGAGTAATGCATGGCTCTAGAGATATCCTCATACGTTTCCTCCACCTCCTGATCGGGGTGTGCCGAGGTTGGTGCGTAAACCTGTATGACCTTCAGCGAATACCTTTGGTGATTCTGAGTATAAGGTACGCAACCCTCGTCGACACACTCCCAATCTTTACAACGCTGTTAACGAGAGACTTGTGGACGATAAATCCGACACCTCCTTGGGACAGATGGTCGCCCGATTCGAGGATTACCGTGTCCTCCCCCTCTCTTCGTATTTCGGATAATCCTATGACATTCCAGCGCAAATTGTCTATCTCTTCTTCCAGCTCCAGGATCTTCTCGTCAGTCCTCAGGGTGCGTGCGTTATATGTTGCCAGGTCGAGTCGTCGTAGATGGCAACCGAACCTCTACCGGAGATTCTTAGCACCCCCTGCCCAGCCGTTACCATGGTCGCCACCGTAGCCAGGAATAGCGGGGCCGCCGGGGACTGGGGGCTGTCTCTTCGTTACTTTCATGGGGGGTATATTGCCATAGTTGCCAAGCTTGGCGAGCGGGTTGGCAACCGCAGTTTTTTTATTGTTGTTTTGCTGTTATCAGAAAGATTCTGCTGCCCATACTCTGCCTCAGTTTCCCTCTGTCGCCTTTTACGACTCTCACGGCAAGATATGGGGTATTGAGTATTCTTACCCGCCACTACACGGGGTATATATGTATGTGTGAAATTATTACATATTTCTAGCTATGGATAGACTTATGCTCGAAGTGTCTCAATGTGACAAAAACCTAAACGTGCATAATTGCAGTTGATGAAAGGTAATTGTCAAAGTCCAACGGATCATTAGGCTGGAAGGGCCAACGAATATCGTCCGCCCCAGTGCAGTCGGATTATCATTATATTTCTTGTCGGGGTGCCCTCGCTTGCCACACTTGCCGGTATGGGACCTTCTTTCTTCTCGTTTATCTTTTTTATTCTTATGCTATTTAATCTGATTTTTTTTCTTTCTTTTTTTTTTAAATGTTACCTCCATACTAGAATTTTCTCCTGTATCGTAGAGGCAGTTTACAAACATAAATTGCACAAGGACAAAAATCCAGACCCAGAACAATTATTTGTAGGCCATTCTAATACTTGTTCGAACCCACGACCCCCAGCGTTGTAACTCATTGCTAAGCCACTGCGCCACGGAGCCGTCAATTCTACTGCGGCTATCCTAGTCACAAATTTTATTATGCTAATAAACTCTGAACATAGTATTCTACACAGCTCCAGTTTGGCAAATAGATAATTATTTTATCCATTTCTACTTAATACTATAAAAAAGAATGATGTATACTTACTCAAGCTGAGCTCTGTGTTCCCCAACAGCGACCGCACATGAAACAAAACATTTTAATCTGTTAAAGGTATTTTCAATCAGCGAGCGTGTGTTTGAATCAAATAAACAAAGTTTCCATTTTATTACAGACACTGCTGCGGGGTTTTAATTGCTTTGGGTTTCAAATGGATTCTGAAGAAAGAGCTGTAGGTTCTCAACGTTTTTGTTCGTGAAGCTAGATATATATTGACTGAAATTTGTTGTTTAAAATTACTATTAAAATCACTGACTAAAAACTTTAAAATATACAGTAGAAAAAAATTCTTTGAACCCAACCATTTCGAGTATATTAAAAATAATAATTAAGATTAATAGTTACAATTGTTATCTAGTCAAGTAAATTTCTATATTTTATAGTAATATATTCAATGGATTTCAAATTCTTTCAAAGTTATTAAACACATTTATAAAAAAAAAAATATTAACCAGTGGTTGGTTATATTAGGTCTTCATTTATTATTAGTATAGCGTTAAAATACACGTACAATCAATTGTTGATTAAGATTGATTTCAGAGTGACCATACACGGAAATCGAATATTAGGAGCAACTTGAGTCTAAATGTAAAATTCAATTTTAAGGGCTGATATACTGTACCAGCATGATTGAGAGATTTAGAATGTTCCGATGATGTACTCCTGCATTGAAATAGCACTTTCAGGAGGCTTATCTCTGACAGTTATCCGACTTTGATTTTTTTTATAGGAGTGACAAACGAGTACACAGTCCACCTGATGGTAAGTGGTTGCTGTGGCCTATAGACATCTAGATTTATCCTCGCTTGCGAATCAAAATGCGTTGCAGATGCGTTGTCACCCGTGAAGACTAAGATGGAATGCCTCTTTTCTTGTGAAGTAACTCAGTTTTGGTAATTGTTAAACTACGCAATGCAATCGCTATATATTGCGTAAAATGATAACGTCAGCAGAAATGTACGGTTGGACCGTACACTAATATCAATATATCTAATATCAATCTCTTGGAAACTTCTTCCATGAGTGTTAAATTTTGCTCTTTGTTCAAATCCTATAATCTTGATAATTTATTCTTTGAAGCTACACGTATTGCAGGGTGTAGTGCAACTTGTATTGATAATATTTTTACAGGTGTTGTACCAATCAACAAAACAATAATTCAAAAACTTATTTCAGATCACTGTGGACAACTGGTTTCATTACCTTATATGCACAAAAAACAGGTAATTGAGAAAAGTGTGTTTGTTCCTATTAATGCAAAACGCCTGGAGAGATTTAGAAGTAATATGGTAAAAAACCTTCCTTCGCTTTCTCATAAGAACAATGTAGACTATTTATATGGAGAATTATTTACCCTTGTAAGCAATGAATTTAAAAAAAAAACATTTACTTCTAAAACATTGTCCAGAAACAGTCGCAAGGCATTTAATGAGTGGGCGACAGTAGGAATTCATAAAAGCAGACGAAGGTTATATGACCTTTACCATGAAAGATCATATAATCTTTCCGTTGATTTTAAAGAATATGTCAAAAATTATTCTAAAATATTTAAAGAGTTTGCTCCACAGACAAATCGTTACATATTAGCAACAAAATTAAGACGGCTAAGAACAAAATTAAAATGACGTGAAGTATAATTAACAGCGAAACCGGTAAAGACAAACCTCGTAATTCAAACTATCAATTAAAAATTAACAATGAATTGACGAAATCAAAACAAGAGAGTCATTGAATACTTCTCCAACTGTCACCGAGTCATTACTCGAACAGAAAGTTAATACCTGTTTAAAAGAATTTAGATTTGAAAAAGTATTACCGCAAGATGTGTTGTAAAATACTTTACAACACATCTACTGTGTAATATACAAATACTGTAAAGAAAACCGCAGAGATTTGTGGGGGATTTCCGTTACGGTTATTGCGTCCATAATAGATTTAATTGCACCTCATCTTGCTATTATTTTTAATACTTGTATCGATTCTGGTGTGTTTCCTGATTTAATGAAGTATAGTAAAGTAATACCTTTATTTAAATCTGGTAGTACATGGGACCCCGCTAATTTTAGACCTATTTCTGTACTACCAACTCTCAGTAAAATTTTTGAAAAAATAATTTTGGATCAATTGTTAATTTTTTAATAATACTAATAAATTACTTCATAAAATCCAATTTGGTTTTACAAGGGATCGCTCGACGTCTGACGCCGGTGTTCAGCTTATGAAATATATTTTTAATGCCTGGGAGAATTTACAAGATGCCTTTTAGAACAAGAGAATTTTCTGTGATCTTTCCAAGGCTTTCGATTGTGTTCATCATAAGACATCAGGAAACTACAACATTACGGTGTAAAAAATTTAGCGCTTAGACTTATTACTTCATATTTAAGTAACAGAACTCAAAAAGTCGTGATCAATGGTAAAGGTTCCTCCGGATCAATAGTATCAATGGGCGTTCCTCAGGGCTCGATTCTTGGCCCATTTATGTTTTTAATCTATATTAATGACTTACCTTATCTTGAGGGGACAACCACGATATAGTATTATTTGCTAACGATACCTCTTTAATTTTAAATCTCAAACGTAACAAAATAATTAATTATGACGATGTAAATAATGCTCTATCGAAATTGGTACATTGGTTTAACGCCAACAATATGCTCTTAAACGGCAATAAGACAAAGTGTATTAAATTTACAATACCTAATGTAAAACATTCGAATACCAATTTGCTGTTAAATGGGGAGGAGTTGAATCTTGTGGATACCACTGTTTTTCTTGGTATTACTATTGACGCGAAACTTCAATGGGGCCCCCATATATCTAAATTAGCAAGCAGACTTAGTTCTGCAGCATATGCTGTAAGAAAGGTTAGAAGTCTCACAGATGTTGAGACAGCTAGATTAGTGTATTTTAGTTACTTCCATAGCGTAATGTCCTATGGAATTTTGCTATGGGGTAATGCGACTGATATTGAAGCTATATTTGTTTTGCAAAAGAGAGCCGTACGGGCGATTTATAACCTAAATTGTAAAGAGTCCCTCAGAGAAAAATTTAAAGAAATAAACATATTAACTTTAGCATCGCAATATATTTATGAGAATGTAATGTATGTGCATAAAAACATAAATAGCTTTAATAAGAATAAGGATGTACATACTTTAAACACTAGGAACAAACATAAGCTTGTAATGCCAGTTATTAGACTCCACAGAATCGGTAATTAATTTATGGGGCAATGTATAACGCTTTTACAACAATATCCCAGAACATATTCAAAGTTTTTCAACAAACAAGTTTAAAAGTTTTATTAAAGAAAAACTGTACAAAAAGGGTTATTATAATATCAAGAAATACATGAATGAAAATAACCCTGGGAATAAGGTGATCGCCACCATGCTGGTTCTATGAAAAATCATTTAAAAATTGTATAAACGAAGTTATTGTTAAGTGAAATATGTTTGAAAAAAAAGTCCCGCTGGGTTTCTTGCTGGTTGTTCCCAGGACTGGGGTGTTTTCCGAACCAGTGGTAAATAAAAAATGACTTTCAATAAGTATTATGTAATAATCAATATTGAATAAAATATTATTCTATTCTATTCTATTCTACTACACTTACCGTACGAAACACAGCAGTGTTAAGCTGCTATTTTATGCTGGTGTTCAGTAAAAGCGTGGTCCTTCCCCGGTCGACCCGACCCATTCGTGCTGCAACTACACTACTAATATAGCTGCAGAATGGCTCTACCACGTATAGAATTTTAAGTTTATGACCTCCAGATCTACGAGGCTGTCAATTTAAATATAATTACTGTTTAAATATTAATTAACAAGTAATCATTATTCATAATTTTCTATTTTTTTATTTACTCATTTTTTATAGTATTTCATAATATATAAAAACAGATATTTTAGATAAGTATTAATTACTATGAATAAGCATCCATGATTATTTTTTGTTTTAGTATGGATATTGTTTCAGTATATCTACATTCCAACATTTAGGTCATATTTATTAAAGATTTAAAAAATGTATGTATAATATATTTATAAATATCTACGTCTTAAGATACATTTCCTTAGCGACATTTTTTCGTTATGTTATAAAAAATTTAAAAAGAACGGCTAAGAAGCTCCTTTCTTTTACTTCGCCCATAAAAATATTTACGTGTAATATGAATCGCTTATTGCAGCAATAAATTATTTTCAGACATAACAAAGGATGCTACGGTATAAATGTGTACATTTTTCTCATTTTATATGCTATAACTTTTTGCTCCATTTTGAACATTTCGGAGCAAAGGTAGACAGGTAGTAATTTCTAATCGGTAAAAAAAAAAACAACGTGTGATCCATTAATGTTACCGTTACAGCCTATTAAAGTCCACTGCTGAACATAGGCTTCCATAGATTGCTTCATAGGGGATATTTACTATATTTATAGCCGTTAATAGGAAAACACTGTTGCCCATCACCTGATTTGTTTACCTCTATCGGCTCTTACGACACATTACGGAATGATATGGGGTAGTGAATATTCTTACACCGTCACTATTCGGTAAACGGTATGGTGCGATCCATATGGCTGAAACTATCTCCACAACATAGCTCACTCACTACGAACATAACTGTTGTATTGGATATAACGCACTTATATCTTTAAAACAGTCATGTTAAGAGAACAAATTAATGAATAAGTCTGATAAATGTAATTAAAATACTGTGTTACACAGGCCATTCCTAAAAGAACTCAATTGAAAATTTATTTTAATTGACATCAATTTGTAAGTCAAGATGAATATTCATTAAATTTTATATTACGAGTAGCTTATCTAGGATAAATGTATCTTTAGTATGTAGTAGAATTAAACTTTATTAAATTTGAGTGTTGTTTTAATTATTGTTTACTTTATATATAAAAAAAAATGATGTACGGCGTAGAGGTTTCATTAAAAATTATCATTTGTGTGATTTGTCCTAATGCCAAAAGGCATTTAGTCCGCCACTTGTACACTTTCTGTGTAATAAAAATTTTTAAACAAAAAAGAGTTGACAAGGGAAGGCGAAGTCTACACAGAATACCAGCATAGTGCTGCTGATTTTCGTATGGTGATTTGCAAGAATAAGTAACTATGTTTACTGGTGACGATCTTAGTAAGGTGAAAATGTATCTATATTTTAACTCCCAATCGAAGATAGGTGTAGGTAGAAATAGCATTAAATATGCAGAAATAACATGAGTTAATTTATCATTTACCATTGGACAGTTTTGTCAACAATCCGGGCATCCAGCTACACAGTTTGCTATGTATTTCGTAGTATCTACTGCTGGGGAGTGGAATAATCCCAGACTCGATAAAAATATAGAAAAAGAAACTATACTATAAATAAAATAACTATAAATAAAATAAAGGATTTTTTAATTTGTAAATACTACTACACATTAAACGAATACTTAAATGATAAATTTTAAATATCTACCTAGTATTTCAATTCTATTTTTATTTCAAAGGGTATAATGACCTCATAGTTTCAAGCTAAAGTTTAAAATGTTCTCAAGACCCTAACTGTAATATTATGGATGGAATAAATAATATGAATATGAATAATATTCCAGCACTTGTCTTTCTGACAAACTGGGTGTTTTTAAATTACGGGGCACACTGATATGATCAGGAATAAGAAAAACCACATGCACGGTATAGCTAAATTGTATTTTATTGTTTTTCGAAGTATTCTCCGTTCAACTTAATGCACTTTTCAATTCGTGCAAACCAATCATTAAAACAGTAATTCCAGTTTGAAGTTGATGTTGACAAAATGGCTGATTTGTACGCTTCCACAGCTGCTTCAGGGTCTGCAAACCGTTGACCGCATAATAAATCATTATCATTTGTCTTCTGAGCCGTATGGGAGCTCCCATTATCGTAATGTAAGATGATGCGACGTTTCGGGTTATTTCTTCGGAGTTCGGCTATCATTTCTGGCAAACAAACTGTGATATACCACTCAGCGGTAACCGTTCTGCGTCCTGTAAAGGTATTGTAGCAACATGCCCCTTTTTCGAGACAAACGTAGCGACCATTTTCTTTGACACGCTCCGGGAGCGAACCACTTTCGTTGGTTTGACCTCGTTTTCGAAGACCCCAACTGCTGACTGATGTTTTCTTTCAGGTTCGTATGAATAAATCCATGATTCGTCACCTGAGACAATATTATAAACGGCATTTGACTTCCCTCCGTTGAAGCGTTGCAGAGTATTCCGGCACCAATCTACACGAGCCGCCTTTTGCTCTTCGGACAAATTGTGGGGAACCCCGCGGGAAACTAGCTTTCTTATACACAGCTAATTATGTAATATCGACTGTATCGCAGTCATTACGATACTGATAACAGCCCGAATCTGCTCGTATGTCACATGACGGTCATCTAATATAATAGTTCGCACAGCTGCGATATTTTCAAGCGTGACCGCTGTTCTTGGTCGACCTGCAGAAGAAACAGTGCTGAGCGACACACGACCGTCGTTTGACTCGGTGCTTCAACATCATAAATCGAAACAAGTTCGCTGAAATATTTATCTTGAGATAAGCAGCGACGAAAATTGTGATAAATTATGGCACGGAAATGTTCACGCGTGAGCTCCATTTCTGTTAACGACGTGTCAACTTTAAACCAACATGGTTTTTGTTTTTAAACCTTTTTTTAAATTGTTTGAATGTTATTAAGATCCTAAGAGGCCAGTATTCAAATTCAAAAAAAGGTTTTATTGTAACTCTATACGAAATGTTCTATTCCCGATCATTTCAGTGTGCCCTAGTAAGAGTGTGTATGAAATGAAACCTTGTTCTACGCTAAGACAGTATGTGTTACTTATTATTATAAGTAACACATACTGTCCTAATTATTGTCTTTGTAGTAATATCATCATCAGGTGGACTAAGCGCTTGTTTCTTTACTTCTATAAAAATATTTTGTACGATATGTAAAGTCTGTCAGGATTTAATGGAATAAATCATCATTACTTACAGCAGCTTATATATGCTGTGTATCTTATGTTGAGTATAGAGAACCAGAGACCATTTTCACTACAAAACGAGGCATTCCATTTTAGTCCTTGGAAGTAACAACGCTTCTGCATTTTGATTCTAAGTCGAGGATAAATGGAGATGTCTATGGGCTTCAGCATCCATTTACCACCTGGTGGATTGTGTGCTTGTTTCTCATCTTAATCCCATTAAAAATCTGAGTTCAAGGGAAATGTAAATGTGTGGTCATTCTGGTTGACGATGAAGATATAAAAAAACCGCATGCAAAAGGATACCATTATTAGATTTTTGATCAGCATCATCATCATCATTACAACCCTTCACAAGTCCACTGCTGAACATAGACCTACCCCAAGGAATGCCACAAAGCACTGTCATGAGCCACCTGCATCCATTGACTTCCTGCATGTCTTACCATGTCGTCACTCCATCTAGTGAGGGGACGCCGTACACTTCGTCCGCCAGTACGAGGCCGCCACTCGAGAATTTTTTTTTCCTATCGGTTGTCGGATAAGATGATAGATTTCTAATATATATTAGAAAATGATACAGGTCAAGGTAATATATTCTCTACGGTAATTCATAGAATATTGTGGCTAATTTATTTTTACAAACAAAAAATGCCGTTATCGCGCCGATATGTACAAACAAAGTTAATTAGATGCGCAGTCACGCGACGTTATACGTCATGTATTAGTAAAGGAAATAATGAATGCAAGGGATCTCAGCTCAGTTATTAATGTTTAATAAATGTTATAATAATAATAAGCATTAATTTGAATGAGAATGAGAAAACAATTATCTACAAAAATGTATCAATACTTTTTTTTCCTACGAGCCACCGTTTTTGAGATATAAAGTCGCGTCTCCACCTAAGTTTTGTTACCAACTTTTGTGTTGCCAACACGTGTTGGTAATAAATGTTACTGTAATTACCTAGTCTTGGCAACAAAACTTGAAACAATGTCGGGAACCGTGTTTCCATTTTCGGCGGCAACATCAAAGGAATAAGCTTGTTACAAACATTATTTGTTCCATCGGCGGAGACGCTTTTTGAAAACATTTGTCGGCAACATAGGAAACAAATGTTGGTAACTTTTGTTAAGTTGTAAACAGTTGGAAACCTAAATGTTGTCAACATTTTTGATGGATACGCGGCTTAACGATTTAAAAAGTTGTAAAAGTTGTAATCGTCATAATATGCACACGTTTCCACGCCACCTATGAGGTAGTGTACTTCGCAACTTTTATCACTTTTTGAATCGTTATATATAAAAAAGTATTGACACATTTTTGGTAGATAATTTTATGATCTCCAATTTTTATCTGAGGTATTTATATGATAAACCTTACCGTTTTGCTGAAAATCGCGAAGAACTCATTTTTTTTACTTTTGATTTGAATAAAAAATTTTCCATACAGGGCAAAAAGATGGGGGAATTTAAAAATTTATTTTTAATATTATTTTAAGCAACCGTACTGATTTTCAGCTTGGTGGGAATTTAGGTAGCTTTACTCTTATTTTTAGGTCTAATTTGACCGGACTATTACTGCTGTGTTTGTTTTTATATAGTTCAGTACTCATGGATGATAACGCACTGCATTTTGATTCTTAATAGAGGATAGATGAATGTCTATGGGCCACAGCATTCACTTACTATTATTAGTTTAAAGTTCTTTCTACCCGGCTTTAAAGAAGGAGAGGGTTCTGAATTTGACTGTACGTTCTTTTTTCGTATTTATGTTATCGTTATCGTTATACTGTCAATTGTGAACGATTTATATGTTAAACTTCAGGGGTGGCCCCAAACAAATTTGAAGACACATGGGTCTGCTATTTTTATTGTTTGGATGGCATTCAAGCTAATGACATTCCTTAGCCCTCTTAAAAGGGTTTGAGTTCACTAAAGAATGTCGTAAGCTTAAATGTGAAAGTTAAACTTAAAAAAAAATGAAAAAGCTGACTTTAAAGTACTTAAAAAAATACCATATAGCTTATGAATTTGGGACTATTTTAGCACCGACTTCTAAAGCTATTATGTAGAAATAAAATAAAATAAATACTGTTTCCATCTCTGGGCAGGGACTCCCCAGTGCCAGCTTCTTCCACTTGACCGCATACAGCGCAGAGCGGCTCGAATCGTCGACGACCGAGTCCTTTCCGATCGGCTCGATTCATTGGCACTGCGAAGAGATGTTGCATCCTTTGCATTTTCTTTCGCATTTACCACGGGGAGTGCTCTGAGGAATTGTTCGGATTAATCCCAATGAGTTCGGATTAACGCATATCGCGGCAAAACTCCCGATACCATCCACACCATCTGGATGATTGGCGGTCTACCACTGTGCGATTTAGAAGATCTATTTTTCCTCGCACAACTTCCTTGTGGAATCTATTATCATCAGCGATTTGTCCGGACCGATACGACTTAGGGACCTTCAAGAAAAGAGCCTACTCCTTTTTAAAAGGCCGGCAACGCATCTGCAATTTCCCTGGTTCCCCTGGTGTTGCAGTTGTTCATGGGCGGCGGTAGTCACTTCATCAGGTGAATCGCATGCTCGTTTGCCCCCTCTCCTATAAAAAAATATTTCATTATTTTTAGTTCTTTAAAGGTTGCTTTCACCTATTATTTAAACTCAAATTTGTGCCATTAAGCATGCTGGTTTCTACTATTTATATATTGCACATTTGAATGTTGACATTATGCTATTGTTTAACGGCCCGTAAACAATTCACGACTTACTAACAATATAGCATGTTAAGTTCCAATGTTAATCAGTAGAATAGATATCTTCTATGTTTTAGTACAGCAAGTGTGAAAGATATGTTATTAACCAAATTTTCAGAATTATAATTTATAGAATATTTAAAAATTTATACCTTCATAATTTTAAACCAATATAATATATATAACTTATTGAATAACTGTGGTTGAAAGAAACGGGCATACTACTATCGTAATAAGTATTAAATTTCCTAATACTTCGTTTTTTGGCTTTCAAAAACAACGAAAAGCCTAATCTAATTGAGCATGATGATATTTGATACTGAAGAACATAATTTATTAGTTTAAATGTTAGAAAATATCAGAGAGGTTTAAGACAAGCAATGTTAAGAAGATATCCGGGCGGCGTTTAGTCCATACAAACCAATTCCTATGTTTCCTCCCAGGAAGTGACACTAAATCAATTTTTTTAAAGATGCATTGTCTACTACTGCCGTTTTTTCTATAAATCAATAATATTAACAACTAGAAACCTTCTAAAATTGTTCAATTATTAGACTTGCAAGAAACAAATTTAACAAACTTAAAAAAAAAACACAAAAAACATACAGACATCGCCTTCCTTCATCCTTCTTATAGTGATTTGAATCGGTCCAGTTTTGGAGGAGGAAACACTATCCCCCTGTTTCCTCGGTATGATGATTTGTTAATTTTTTTATAGTTTCATTATTAGCCCGATCAGTTGTCTTTCTTCATTGCTTCGCTCGGTCGTTGAGGCATAGCGCGACAGACAATATAGATCATTAAAAACCTGACCATTCGTCATACTTATTACAGCTTAGATATTATCTTAAATATATTTCTACGCATAAAAATGATTAACAAAGAGCTACTTTTATATATTGTCAAGTAAGAAAAGTTGTAGTATACAGGTTATGTGGTTAAGCATGACAGACATGATGTTCTTCCTTCAACTTATAATAATGGGGAAAGTTAGTGGCGAAAAAAATGTAGGAAATGTCTTCAGATTGATCACCAAACTGAAACTGAATTTAATGCTGCCGTGTTTCCAAAGTTCGGCAACCAAAACCAGATATTTTTTTACTGTTTTCGAGACATTTCATATTGCTTTTCAGGGGTCATCACACATCTGCATTTTTGTTCTTAATCGAGTATAGATGTAGGTGTCTACCTACGGGTCACAGTATTTACTTACATTCTTTGCGCCAGTTTATTACCTTTACATTTATAAAAGGAATATAGTAATTGGAAAGCACTTTTACAATAAGAATAAATTAAAAAAAATTACAATGAAAATAAAAACGTATCGTATATCATGATTTATTGTTTAAAATAATAGGAGTCTAAATTGAAAAGAATAATCTTTTCTTTACTCAAGGAGCCTTACTCTTACAGTGTGGTGTAAGATCTCTTTATAGCAGACCTTTTTACTACAGAAAAGACAATAAATCATATCTACTATAATAATCAAACAAGCATGTAAAGTGTACGAAACGACTTATTTCTACATGTATATTGTAGACAATATACATGTAGAAATAAGTCGTTTCTTCAGTGATATTCAACCGGGTAACCTCTCTTGTTACATGCCTTGAAAGTCTGTAGTTTGGAGAAAAACATGAATGAAATATAATACAGTGGTAAAATATAATACTTCAGCTTTTATATTCAGCTAGAAACTACGTATGACTTATTATTACTTTGTACTACCAAGAATAAATAGTACTACATCCGGTTCTGAGCTATGTTTAAAACTTTTGGTTTCTAGCTTATCGGGAAGTTATTTTAAAATGAATTACTAAATTCAACCCGAACAGACATACACGATAGCGAGTTAATAAAAACGTGGCAAAAATTAATTTATTGAAAATCCTAATCACAAACAATTCCAGTGGTAATAGTTGCATTCTGATTTCTTATATTTACGCGAACACTACACATTTAATGAAACTATGTTTACGGATTTTATCGCTTTTAATTTACTTATTTTTAATTCGCGTACCACTGCAAGATTTCAAGAAGCTGTAAGCTTTTGTAAGGTCGTTTTATGTAGATCTAACCAAAAATTAATATTTATAAACTGAAGGTAGCGGGGCTAACTATAACATCGGGACGTCTCAGTCCCCCCCCCCCCCTTCCGTGACCCTGGGTTGCTGTAAATCACCCGAAAGGTCGGGAATTAAAAATAAGTAAATAAACGCAATAAAATATAAAGAAACATAGTTTTGGTCTACAGTTCCACTTCTACTTGCGGTCCCACCACCACCACATTAGTTCTGTGGTTCCCTATAATCGCAGAAGTTAAATTAATTAAAATATTTACTATACATTACATCTTATCTATAGGGATGTGTCCTTTGTCGTACTCGTTGCTATTCGACTCTTATTAGCATATAACTCCGCCCAAATGCAGTAGCTCTTTATGTACAAGTGCACATATAAAAGCTTTTGTTGAATTTAGGACAAATCAAGCCATTATAGTGCTCTCGTAATAAGTCCGTAACCGTTCACAGATTCAGTGCTAGTTATTACACTGTGCTGTCTTAAGGAGAAATTGCCATATGCTCCAGATATCTGGTACTGCGGTCTGGTCTGAATCCTTACACCTTTGACGCTGTTTATTGCCTATTTAGTTATTTTATGTAGTATAGGATAGGATAGTTGTACTGCCATATATCGGTAGCCATGCAAACTTTGCCATGGGTGTCGCTTACAACCTCATAATAAATAGTATGTTCTTTCAATATACGTAAGATTAAATATTGAGGTAATGGATTTTCTTAAGTCGCCACCATACACTTAACACTTTTTTTACAGAATAAGGGTGACAAACGAGCACACAGCCTACCTAATAGTAAGTGGGTGCTATGGCCTACAGATATCTACATCTATCGCCGATTAAGAATAAAAATACAGATGCGCTGTCACCTCTGGGAATTAAAATGGACTGCCTAGTAAATAGGGTTTCTGGTTCTGTGCACTCACCATACGAAACACAGCAACATTAAGCTGCTATTTTACGCCGGTATTCAGTGATGGCGTGGTCCTTCTCCAGTCGAGCCAAACTATTCGTGATATAGCTGCAGCAAGCTCAAGTAGCGATGGCAAGATAGAATAAAAATAAAGTAAAACTAACATAACATGGAGCAAACAATTACTGAAGACAAAATTAAATAAAGTAGAATGTACTTAAGGAAACAAGACAATGAGGAATAACTTCGAAATAATTTTGAATACGAATTATTCACAATTATCTTCAATCTTTCAAACGGCCTTGAAGTGTTAATCCGGAATACCGCTGTAGGGTATATTAATGCTCGTTCAAAGATAAAGGACGGTTTAAGCATTTTAATTCTTAGATTAAGTTTCCAATTCATCCTCACCCATATTTCATTTTATGGGTGTCGTTAGAGACGACTACAGCAAAATTCAGTAAGAGCTCATAGATTCTGATAAATGGTGTTATAACAACTTGGTTTCACAACATGAGAGAATAACCAGACCAGCCACTGGCTCAACGTCAATGGTGCGAAAGTCCGGTACCGCGATCGACAATCCACCTGATAAACGTGGTAATAAAGCCCAATCCTTCCCTTAACGTCTAGCAAAGGACTTAAACGGACAGAAGAAGAGAG